AGCAGCCATGTAACAGGATCCCATACACCTAATTGAATCACCAAAAACCCTTACATTACTGCTTATATGGAGCTTGTGTTATTTCATTTCCTGAAGGTAAGTGGAACAGCCAGGCTGAACCAACAACGGGAGTACTCGTGTAATATTCCTTTACTACTCCCGTTGTCAGAGGCTACATTTAATTTGTTTTTTTTTTTTGTTAAGGCAGTATTGGTCGAAATTTTGGCGCCTTAGCGTGTAAATTTCCGATGACACTGGAAATATTCTCCAGCTTCGTTCACCGTTCGGATAACGATCAGCTATTGGCGCTGTAGCTACTGTAAACCCATCCACTCCTATCATGCCATCCAAAGAGCATATTCGATCTCGAAGATCGGAAATAGAGGTTTTCTTGAACTTTCCTTTGGAAAAAGGCGCTTATCTGTCGAGTGGGTGACTTCAAGTCAACAGTCTGCCAACAACAAGGCTCCAGGCCTCCGCTAATTACATTGAGTCGTATATGTAAAGAAGGATGTCTTTGCGCATCGGACATGGTTTCGGTATCCCAAAAACTCAGATCATCTGTGAAAACTTGTTAACTGCGTTCGTGTCTTCCCCCATCAATATAATCGGGCGCGGGCTCAGTAAAGATACCACCCGGATCTTCTGTTCCCTTTTCCCTTCTGGGCCTCCCCTACGAAGGCGAATTAATCAGACCCTGAGTATTCTACAATGTCATATCCTTCCTGGGAGTTGGTGTATGAAGCTAACAAGATTCAATGACCCATGAAACCGATCGTTTACCTGTGAGCAATCGTTGGTTCCAAGATTTTTTCCAAGATTTGTCCAATCTGCGTCTTTTCTCTTCTTTATGCAGCTCATTGTTCCGCTGCATGCACGATGCTGGAAGGTGAAGCACCGTGTGCAGCTGTGCCAGGCTCCAGTATAAACGAACGAATGGCTCTTGTGAGTTTGGGGATGACCTTTTAGGGCCTCTGAGGAAATCTCCGAATCATCATTACCTCCTTCAGGTTATAGTAAAAGTGTTCAGCACGTTCATCCAACGCATTTCCAAGCTACTACTAGCAATATCGACGCGCGGCCTGGCTCATGTTCGTCAAATGTTGAATGTCCTGGTTCTTAAGTTGTATACATAGCACGCACTGCGCTTTTTGTCACCGGAGCAAGTTTGGAGTTACCAATCTAACATAACTCCTGCCTGTCTTTCGGGCAACGTTTCCTCGGATGTCTGCTTTTTACATTTCTTGTTTCATGCATCAGAAATATAATCTTTTATGAAAAGTTCAAGGCGCAGGTTCTGCTCGACCACGAAACACTGGTGTAACCCCAGGCCCTAGTTGAACCGGAATACTGCTGATTGGACATCCCTCTGGAGTGCCATTCTGGGGTAAATACAAGACCCGTCGAGTTTTCCATTTAAAAGGGAACCGCACTCAAGTCTTATTCCACCAAACCCCCCCCCCCCCAGTCCTCCTTGGTCTTTGCACCAAACTTTCTGATCCCACATTTGAAATATTAGATTCCTGCACCCTTGGCAAGTTCAGGTTGCCCACCGCTAAATCCTTGTACTCATAAAATCGCTGTAGAACCATGCCTTTCCCCGCTTCTTGGAAAAATCCTCACCTTCTCGGAAAATTCCTGGTTATCACATTCTCGAACAAAGATCTATCCTTGAGTCTCGACACATGCCTTGGGAATGTCCGTGGAAAATTCCAATGGGGCGGCCGTGATGCTATGTCGAATGCAAGGGGTGCATCTCTCAGCGGTTCCGACCTTACTGCCCAGCTGCAGCACAACGGTCGAGCAGTTGAAGCTCACATCGATCTTAGCGAAAGAATCAAGGTCGTATCCGGGAGATTGGTTTATGTTCCTCCTTCTGCCAATAGTGATGTGACCTCGCCACCTTCTACGACGCCTGCGACAGGAAATGAAAGTACTGCCTCCCGTCCTGGATCGTGAGTCTATTTCAACTCCTCATTGTTTACATGATCTGAATTCATGCTCATCTTTCATTACTTATCAGTCCCGGTTCGCCACCTCCCTCATATGAAGATAGTTTTGCGGAACAGTTCAGCGAATTCAAGTCAAGCCACAAATCGTGAGTCAAGATAAAGCAAGTCTGGGTTCGCACTAACTGACAACCTTTAAATCTGTACTAGGAGCTACTCCGCGCGATCATCTTGCTACTTCAAGTTCAGCTTGCGCGACAAACCGTTACGGTTGGTCGGCTCTATCCTCCACGCTGAATGTCGTCGTGCGGGTCAGAGGGAGTATGTCCATTCCGAACTGGATCTCAACTCCTACATTGGTGTCATCGACGGCCAACTTGTCTGGGGACGAGAAGGGTTTTTCTCAATCAGCCAAAACGTCAGGCTTGAGGAATTCATCCTTCACGCAGAGTGTAAGAACGAATCGGGGACTACATCCCACTCATCCTTGGACCTCAGTCGATACCTCCAAACATACGACGGAGTCCTAGGCGTCAAAGTCGCTACCGACACCACCGAAATTTCTACATTGTTCAGCGAAGCGAGCTGGATGAAGTTCAAGGTGGTTACCGAGCCTGATCCTATCGGGGTTCTTGGCACTCTCGGGGACCAAGCAGCATTTAAAACCGCATTCAGTTCCCTCGCTACGACCACGACCGAGCATGTCGTCGCCGAGATGACGCAGGAGCTCTCGGTTGCGGCAGCTCAATATGTTAAGAGTGCGGTCACAGATACCGTCAAGGCGAAGATGACCGAGATAGTGACGAACGCGGTGTCTGCACGGGTTCGGGAGGAGATCACAAAGAAGGTAGACGAGGCGTTTGCAGTCGCTCGGGAGTCTGTGCTCAAGGCTTGCTATGACATGGCAGACGAAGCCGCGAACGATGTGACTATCCAATATACCCAGTCCGTCGTGGGCCCAATGGAAGACAAGATCACTGAAAGCTGCAATAAGCTCGTCGAGTATGCTTTGAGGGAGGTCAGCGAGTCTGCTATTGGGCAGTTCCAAGAGCGGGCGGAGATTTTGATGGAGCGCGAGATCGTGGGGGCTGGTATCCGCCGCGCGGAAACCCAGGCGAGACTTCTCAAGATGTTGGCAGCGACTTTTTAAAGTGTCATGAGCAGTGGTTCAAGTGCTTCGGAATTCCTTACTTTTCATCTTTTTTTGATACCCACTTTGCGATGTTTTTGAATGCTCTAATTACTCTCATGGTCGTATCATATTCAATGTCATTTTCAGAGAACAGTAGCAGTCGCGCAAATTGAGTCTTCAACAAAATTTTGTAAACAAAATCCTCAAGGGAGTATCATGATGATTAAGAGGGAGTGTTGGCGCCGGCGGACTGATAAGCGCCCACATGCCTCTGTTACCATCTTCCTTCACGAGTCTGTATCGATTATTTCTCCGGACAAGCTCTGCATCTGTTTTACATCAGAGTCTAGCTGTGCGAAATATCCGTGCTCTTTGGCGACCAATATTCTCAGATGCCGCTCATGTTATTGAAAAATTGCAAGCAAAACCCTGTGAACGAGAACAAGAGTTACTAAGGAATTGGCTAAGGAATTGGGAGACACAAAGTCTGTACTTGCATCTAACTCTGGACGGTACGATTGATGAAGATGAGTAACTGCAGTGGACCGTACACTATCTCTTCTATACGCCTCCGCTACCTCGCGGGGTCTTCCTCACAAACTTACTCGGAATCTATCACAACTATACTACGCAGAGTATGACCGAATGACCAGTCGAAGATACCCAGTGTGGAATGCTCAGCTGCCAAAAAATTCTCGAGAATACCAGATTCCAGTTCCTGATACGACCCAGAAGGCTCTGAACAAAGAAGAGAAAGCGCGTCAGGCGCAGTATTTGGAGGATCGTGCTTGGAACGCTCTGAGTTTTGCGGTGAAGATGGCAGAGGGTCGTGATAGGTTATCTTTAGGCAGAGTAGTTGTAAAAGGGAAATTGTGGCAGACCTGACCGCTACTCTACTGGACGAACAATCTTCTGTTTCTGACGCATTGTCAACGAGGACAAATACTATACCTGTACTTTTTGCAAAGATTATGAATCCGAAATACGGTCGTCAACCACAGGCTTCGGTGCCCTGGCATCCCTCGCCTTCTTTCTCATGAACGCTTCCCAAAGTACCTTCTTCTTTTCCTGCTTCTCAGCCTTTCTGACCTGCGCCATGATATCCACATCGTGCTTGACCTTTTCATCTCTCGTCCTCTGTCTGCGTCTATTAAGATGATCCCAGTCAGCTCCGCGCCCGACCTCTGTTCCAAACACGTTGGAGGGAGTAGGCTTATTGTCAATTGTCTTCGTAACCTTTGCCTTTTGTGTAGGCATCCATAAATGAACGGTATGCGAAATAGTTGTGGGAGAAGAGGGTGAAGCAGTCGATGAGCTAGCAACATCTGGCTTGCTGTTTCCATTTCCCTTCGCTTTGGTTTTCGTTTTCGTTTTCGCGCTCCCAAAATTCACCTTGACTTCAGGAGCGGCATGAAACCGCGTTCCAGTGGTCATTCGAATCTCTTTCAGACCCTCGAGTATAGGCAATATCTGACTTTTCAAGAACCTACATGACAAAATAAATCCCAACGAATTGAATGAACAAGGTTATACAAAAAGCGCACCTCATCGACCGAATAGGATGCTCCATATGCGGCGGATTCGGCGGGGGAGTCTTCCTCTGACCAGACTTTGTATACCGAATTTCCGTATCGCTGTTCTCGTGTACTTGGTACTTTTCGAAATTCGGTGGAGGCGCTTCTTTCAATGCGAGTCTATACATCTCTGTTGTCGTCAGCCCTGCTTTCTGGAATTGCTCCGTGGCAAGGAGGGTTCGAACTATCGAAAGACCATGGGAGATCAACGATGGTTTCGACTGGCCGCGAAGTATCACGGACGACATCCCGGTAAGGAGGAGAAGAGCAGATGAGCGCTAACTTGACTTCTTAAAGGAAATTTGTGCAGATGACATTAATGCGATTTTTAAAAAACAATTGCAAGGGGCGCACCCGGGATTGAACCGGGGACCTCCTGCACAAGAAGCTCAAGAAGCTCAAAGCCCAAAGCAGGAATCATACCTCTAGACCATACGCCCGACGTTAAAATTTGGGATTCGACACATCATATTAGAGGCAAATCAAACCTTCAAATTTTACGAAGTCACCTTCATGCTTTAATCTCCAAAGTTTTCTTCTTTCCTTCAAATTAACATGAATTTCAGAAAAAAGTTATCTTCAATAAAGATGCACACCAAGTGTTCAATGTTTTGAAAAACCCCTACAATTACTAAAAGGAGAATACTTATTAGATAGTCTAGATATTCACCACCCAATTATTCATGAACCACACAGCATAAAGCCCTCAATGAAGCCAGGAGTAGAATGAACCAAGCCAAAAAGATGCATCTGCTATTACCCTCCTTTGTTCTTTTCATGTTTTCAAGGATGCTAGAATTTTGATGGAACTCCTTTTTCTTGATCAATACATCGATCCTTGCCAAACGATACGACCGCCATCGATGTTCAAGTGGCTGTCAAATGAATGAAAATGAATACAACACCATGTCAGCATGAGATGGGCAGTCAAGATTTGATTTACCTTACTTCAGAAGTTGTCGAGCGTAGGCAGGAGATAGGAAAAGCCCCGATCGGAGGGGCGAGGCTGTGGTATCCTCATGGACACTACGTTTTAGATATACTCCCGCTCGTCGCGTTTCGGGCGAGCGGGAAAAGTTTCAGATAAAATTTTCAGGTACTTATACGTATCATTCACTTCGTTCCACCCTCAGTTGTTTGCACCCGTTCGTGCATATCTGAGGAACAACGCTGATTATAGTTCTACAGGTTATGGGCCCCGCCCGCTGTTAATACCGAAGAAAATTATATTCCAAAATAACGACTGAAAACAAAACGAGAGCAACAAAATGTCAAATAACTCATCTATCCCTGCACCTGTCCCGGAAGTCCCTGAAGACCAAAAGTTTGATGGGGGCATCCGGATTGCCTGGAAACCTATAGAGAGAAAGATAACAGTGAGCCTCCAGAATCAAGGCCTAGACGGATATATCGACGGACGAGTGAAAAAACCAATACCGAGCGAAAATAACGAAAAGTCCGAATCCTCAAAAGCATCGGAAGGAACTCCAGTATTCTCCGAAAAACCGTCCCTTCCTGAATGGAGGTTTCGTAACAACAGGACGAAAGGTATAATCGAATCCTTCATAGCCGACTTACCATCCTTCGTCCCCGAGGTTGACAAAATGGACGCAAAAGAGTTGTTTGAAAAGCTGGTCCAAGAGTTTGGGAAAAGAGATGACATGCGGAAGACACTCTCCATGAGAAGGCTGAGAAGTCACATCTTCCGCGAGGACGAGTCTATCGACGCATTCTTCAAAACATTGAGAGATCTCCGGAAGGAGTCTATCGACATGGGAAATGAAGTTCCTGATTCAGTATTCCGCGAGATCATCCTTGCCGCTTTCCCGACGGTTGCGTTCGACACCATAATGCAGAACATAAACGCAAACCCATCGACATTTACAACCTCAACTGCCGTGATGCAGCAAATCACGTTCCAATACTCTCGATCTGTACATCGTCCCGATGCAGCGATTCCGGGAGAACGACTTTCGCAAGTAAATTCGGTGACCACGCTAGCCTCCAGGATCGAGTCCATAGAGAAGCAGATGGTGTCCTCTGCAAACGCTGTCAGGTCGCCGGAGAAGAAGTGTCGGAACTGCCAGCGAAGCGGCCACCTCGTCGAAGAATGTTTTCGAAAGGGAGGCGGTAAAGAGGGACAATATCCACCATGGTGGAAAGGGAAGAGAGAAAATCAAGGGACTATGTCGACGAACTCAGACCCAAATGCGATGACAATACCCGAAGTGGGGGAGTTGACCCAGCACTACGGATTGGCGGTATCATCCACGGGAGATAATGGCGAAATCTTCGCAGATTCAGGCGCCTCGGACCACTTCTTTAGAAATCGGGCAGACTTTACCACATATACGGCCTGTTTGCGCCAAGCCAGATCATCCGAAGCATCCACTCCACTACGTATCGAAGGATGGGGAAAGGTTAGTAAAGCTTTTGAGGGTCCAGATGGGGTCGTGATCCTCACCTTCGAAAATGCTTTCCACTCACCTGACGTGTCGTATAACCTCATCTCTATATCCAAAATGGACAAACTCGGCTACCAAATCCTGTTCGGAAGCGGCGTTGCAAAGTTTTATAGTCCGAAGGGGAAACACTTCCTCACAGGATATGGGTCAAACGGATTATACCGGCTACATGAAAGGCAGAGTGTCTCGAAAGGGTTGGTGGCCCGATCTAGGTCGCTGAACAAGCCTGTGGATTTAGAGACTTGGCATCGTCGCCTAGGTCACGCTGGGATGACACGCATTCGGATGATGGTTCAGAAGAATCTGGTCGATGGGATGGTCGTTGTTGGACTGACCGACGAGGGATCGAGGGAATGTGACAGCTGCCATATGGGAAAGGCCAAACGTCGTCCATTCGACGCCGTCACAACGCGTGAATCCCGAATCTTGGAAAGAGTCCACGTTGACCTTACAGGTCCCATAAGAGTCCGAGCCATTGGGGGGTACTACTATTCGATGCCGATCGTGGATGGTCATTCTGCGATGGGACGGGATTTCTACCTCGCAAATAAGGAATCAAATACTACCCTAGCTGCCATGCAGTCCTATAAGGCGCGTGCTGAAAATGAAACAGGCGAGAGGTTGCTGCATGTCCGTATTGACGGGGGAAAGGAATTTGGGGGAGCTATGTGGCAAAAGTGGGCTGATGAAAACGGGATAAACCTGGAAGTCACTTCGCCATATTCATCAGCTGCGAACGGCGTTGCTGAACGTAAACATGGCGTTACCTTTGAGAGAGTTAGGACCATCTTGCATGATTCGGGTCTACCATTCTTCCTCTGGACGTATGCCTGCGCCTATATCGTCTATACTGACAATCTAATCCCTGCTGCCCGCGTCGAGTTCAGGATCCCTGCCGAGATTTGGTACAGGAAGCGAATGGATGTCTCCCACTTACGTCCTTTTGGGGTGATGGCGTGGGGTACGATCGTGAATAAGACCCCCGGGAAACTGGATCTGAGGGCATTCAAGGGACGGCTGGTAGGATATGGCGCAGAGAGGGGCGTCTACCTTCTGTACACCTCCTCCGGGAGAGTGGTGTCCAGCAGAGATGTGGATTTTGAGGAGAGGAGGATACCCGCACCACCGCAGGTTGGAGAGGAGGGGACATTAGATGGAGAAGGTCTCTTCTACCCAACCGACGATGATGCCGAGAAGATGGATGATGTGACAGCTGACAAACCAGCCGAGATCGACGCCGAAGCTAGCCCGATAGCCGAATTCGATTTCAATACCGAGATCAATCCTCCAACTACCTCCAAGTCCCTGATCCCACTAAGACGTTCGACAAGGCCTAGGAATGCATCCTCGAAGGCCTCAGAGACAAACGAGTTCCTGTCCAGGGAAAATGACGCAAGAAAAATGAGGGAAGACTGGGCGACGTCAGAAAAACCCAGAGCTACCTTTGCAATGCTGAGCACTAGTCTACCAAATGAAGTAGGCGCTGAATTCAATGTCGCATTAGCCACGTTCGGTCTGCCAATAGTCCCAAAATCGTATGGGAGAGCCCTTGAAGATGCCGGAAGATGGTTGCCAGCGATTGAAAAAGAGAAGTTGAGGATGGCTGAATTTGGAGTCTTTGGCCCTATCCAGGATCCACCGGAAGGAGCTACAATCTTGAACCCCTTATGGGTCTTTGCACACAAAATGGATGGGATGGGGAACATCGTCGATGAGAAAGCAAGGCTGGTGGTAAATGGGGGAAAGCAGATTGAAGGTGTGGACTACTTTGAAACTTTCGCGGCGGTTCTGCGTTTCGAATCCCTCCGAATTCTCATTGCGACGTGGGTTACCCTTGGCTACAACATATGGCAAATTGATTTTGCTTCAGCCTACCTGAACGCAGACCTTAAGGAAGAAATCTACGTACGGCCGCCTGATGGATTTGAAGGACGAGGATCAGGGAAAGTGATGAGGTTGAAGAAATCGTTATATGGGACGATGCAGGCAGGGCGGAACTGGTGGAAGACTTTGGACCAGGCATACTCCGACCTTGGTTATTCACGTTCGCAGGCAGATCAATGCGTCAGAAGCCGGGTATCTTCAACGGGGGAGACCATCACTGGCACGTACACAGACGATACCCTGGGAGGATCCTCATCGAGAGGCGAGATGGAGAAGGCGAAAAGCGAACTAGGAGAACGATTCAGGATGAAGGATACGGATAGTGTCCAATTCGCGTTGGGAATGCGACTGGTCCACAATCGGGAGGAGGGAACGGCGACTCTCTCAATGCCCGCATACTGGGATCAAATGCTCACCAAGTACGGTCTGCAGGATCTCAAGCCCAAGTCAACTCCCCTCCCTCTTGGCGTCGTCCTCACTGTCGACCAGTGTCCAAAGAGTGATGAGGATCGTGCGTATATGAAGGACAAACCTTACTCGGGACTCCTCGGATCGATACAGTTTGGTCAAGGGGCTTGTCGTCCTGATATTGCGTACGCTACGAACCTCCTATCTTGTTTCTTACAAGATCCAGGACGAGCTCATTGGCATGCGCTGATACATCTTAGTCGATATATTGCAGGGTCTAAGGAATATGGTATTACATACATCAAACAAGAAAATGGACTCGAAACCAAGACGTACTGTGACGCCAACTACGCTACCTGTGTCGACACAAGGCGTTCGACGACGGGTGTCGTTACTATTATTGCAGGAGGACCTGTGTTTTGGATGTCCAAACGCCAAGATGTAGTGGCCCTATCGACTACCGAAGCGGAATACATAGCATATGGTAAAGGCGCCCAACAAGCTAGATGGGTCCACAACTTCCTCGCTGAGATTGGACACACCCCAGGACTTCCGTCGAACTTGTACGCAGACAACCGAGGAGCCATCGCGATCTCAGAAAATCCAAAACATCACCAGAGGGTGAAGCATATCGATATACGTTTCCATTATCTTAGGGACGTAGTCGAGAGGGGAGAAATAAA